CAGTATATTAAGTATATAAATGCATCAGTACATAAAATAATGTTCTTAAAAAGATATCTGGGAGTTACTTATGTATATACTATACGTCAAATATTGAGATTGTATAATCATGATTATTATCAACCATAGTATGTAGTCCCTAATAAAATTGAATTTTAAGGTACTAGTCAAAAAATAATATGTTTCTTATATAATTTTAAGATTTTTCGAATGTCCTCATTACTGAAAGTTCTAATAATTCTACCATAAATAAATATTGAAAGTAACCTAAATAAGAAAAACAATTGGTATTTAAAAATCTTTTCTATAATTACAAAACATGTCAAACATAATATCAGATCACAATTATAAAAACATATAAGAGGAAATTTATAATAAAAAGCCGACATTAAATTTAAGGAAAGGTTAACGAAATATAATTCTATTTCTACCTCTTATGTAGAGATGAAAAGGTTAGGGTTGACTAATGATGATAAATGGAAAACCAAACGATTTAACAAGTATTTCTTAAAATAGTCACGTTTTTCCTAAAACGGTTGTCTAGAAGAAGAACGAATAACTAAGCGTCAGGGCGATATGCAGAATGATCTAAACCTTATCCACAAATTTTGCGAAATTCCAAAGGATCATGCCGCTTGGTATAAAAGATCAAATCCACCGAAAACACCGAAAAGTTTCGTGAATTTTTTTTGCAGCACAGAAGCTTTCAAAAGACGACGAGATAATAAAAAAAAAAGATAAATTTTGACGTGCGCGGTGAGAATATGACGAAGGAGGATTATCGGGCGCATCACAAAAAACACCTTGTCCGTTGCGTTGTTGTTCGTAAGCGAGTTGTGAAAATTCTTCAAACAGATGATAAAGAAATTGGCCGTGTAGAAATTGTTATACTCCTGAATCAGTACTACGACGTTGATGTAGAATATTTTCTGCAGACCATGTGCACGGTAGACGCCATTTCTGGTTTTGCGAGGAAGGCTTGTCAACCATCGCCGCGGTGGAGCATCGATAGATCTCCGTAAGACGATCGAGTCAAAGTATTTGCAAGTAACTCACAGTTATTATAAGTGTTGTTTGCGTACTCGAAGGACACGTCCGGAGTCAGAAACAAGCGAAATTCACGACGCCTCGGCTTTTTCGGCCGTGGCGCGCGAAAAACCACGAAAAAAACAACGAATTTGCTCGTACCTGGTTAGTGCGCTCAAAACGCAGCTCGGTCACGTGACCGCGGGCCCCCCACCCTGAGTCGGCAGCACCGCCTCTATGCTTTATCAGGCTCCATACGGCTAGCTAATTTTATACTAGAAGATTCAGGTTTACCAACTAAACAGTCATAAACTTTCTAGATGTCAGAACTACGATGTCCCTAGGCACCTCAATTTCTCAGGTAGACATTTGTGGATCTTTCAAATTCCTCAAAAACATTTGAATGGTTCAAACAGTGGCCACCAGGTGCCTCATCAAATCTCCAAATCTTCAATTTTGTCCCAAGTGCTCGCTCCAATCCTCATTGTTATATATATATATATTAGTTCTAAGTCTCAGTAGTGCACGCGTTTAAGGTGGAATTCGTCTACATCAGCTCCACTAATCCGTTTTAGTAGACGATGCCAAGCAAGGAAACGCCTTTCGCTTTTCTCTTCACCAGTGCATGCTCCCTCTCGCTGAGAGAGCACAGCGTAAAGGCCAGTAAACCGGAAGATATGGGACAAAAGATCATCCCTTTCTAGTTGCGTACCTGCCTTTATTAAGGGTTTTGGACGTGTAACAGAACGGATACGAATTTTTTTTAAGGCTCACTTTCAATTAGACGATGTATATTTAACACCCTATTTGTATGCTCGCTATTATGTAACCCCATGAACATTTATACCGTTTATATACTGTAATATATTTCTATATAATTGCGTGATAAGAGGAAGAACAAAGATGCAATTTATTGAATTAAAAATGTATTCTAATTAAAAAATGTAGTTAACAATTATTTTTATAATTACAAATTATATCACTGTACTATACAAGCATTCAAGTAATTAACACAGAAAAATAAAATGTAAAAAAACGAAAATTTAATACTTTTCAAAGTACCATTGACATTTTGTAGTTTATTCGCAAATTATTAGTTATCTTAAAAAACATTGTTATCTGTAGAATTTGTTCCTTTAGCAATATTTACTGTTTCTGTAGCTGTTTCTGCTGACAATGATATTAACCAAAGCATAGAATTTTAATCTTTCGATTGTTTTCCTTTCTATACTAAAGATTTACATACAACTTAAACATCACATGAACACAGTGAACAGGCTGAAAAGTAAAATATACAAAAATATTTTATAAAATTTTTACAAAATCTTCTGATATGTATAAACGTACTTCATTAGAAATAATCATTTCATTTTGTAATGCCATTATACATGTTAAACATAATAACCTCATTCTCTGTTCCAACAATACGTATAAAAACTACAGGGCGAAGAGGTTTAAAACGTATCGTTTGCCATGAACGACAAGCTTTCCTAGTTTCGTCAGTAACTAGATTCCAATGTCAAGAATTGCCGGATACCTCTATATTGTAAGAATATGGACGATCATCGCAATCCCAAACCCATAATCTATATATGTAAATAAATATTTACAACTATGCAACTGTATTATTATAATATATGATAACAGAATGCATACTGCAGAGAGTCCATTATATACGGTTGTGTAAAGTGTAATTTATAAGAACCAGATGCAAATACAAGTTAATGATCAGTCCAATCATAAGGTGATATTTCACCATTTAATACAGCATCGTGATACCTAAATTTAAATAAATAATTTGACATAAAAAAAGTATAAAATATTTATGATTTGTATAAGCTTCAAAAGTTATAAAACCAAAACCCTTTAAAAATAAAAGTTATGAAAAACAAACATAAGAGAAAAGATTAGAAACGTTTTTAATAATAGTGTGATAATGATTTTACTCTGCTTATATTTGGTACACTAGCGTTGGTCCCAACAATACGAATATAAACAACTACTCTTGGTTCAAAGTATAAAACTTGCCAACTATGACAAAAATATTCTGTATGATCAATAATTTGAATCCAATTTTTTTGTTCCATAGATACCTATTTAAAAAGTAAGGAATAATTGTAATAAAAAAATTATATACAAGAATTAAGCATTCAATATTTTTTCTTTTTGACTTACTTCTGTATAATAAGAACAGAAACACATACAATCCCAAAGAAGCATCTTAACATGATTGATGATACTCTGAATTCCTAATTTAACTACAATTCCATGTTCTTGTGATTTAGTGATGGTATGTTTAATATACCTGATGAAAAAGAAATCTTATTTAAATGAATAACTTAAGGAATAAATTTATCAATTTACCCTTGCTTCATATCCCATAAATAACTGGTTGTATCTTTATGTAAAAGAAAATTATGTATTTCACCCTGCAGAACTTGTGCACCATGTATAGGACGGGTAATATTTGTATCAATAAGTCTACAATAATTAAGATCAGAGTCATGTAGTTGTGTTCTTGCAGCTATTGCACTTAAAATTGCTTCTGGAGAAACCAATCCAGTTGGTTGAACAACATTCAAAAGATCCATGGTTGAAATCAGACTTAATCGAACTTTATCTACAGAATTAGCCAAATCAATTTTATATTATTATTATAACTAACACTTTCAAAATAGACTTTAAATAGATTTTGTTTACCATTTCTAATGCTTTTGTATTTACCTAAAACATTTTGACCATCAGCATTAGGATTTACTTTTATCCATGCTTGTAAGGCTAAAAAAATATCAATTTCTGGCGCATAAAAGGAGTCTTTTGAAACAAGTTCATTTAAAGCACCAGCACTTAAATGTAAAAAGCTCTCATGTCTAATTATGTTATATGTATGTACACCCAGGTAAATGCGACAAACCTAGAATAGATTAATTTTTATGCATATTTTCATACTTTAGTAATTCTTTTGGGTGGGCATCTTTGACATCTTTTCCATACCTTAGTAAGAAACTCTTGCTGATAAAGAAGTGCTGCATTAAATATGAGGCAGACATTTTCTACATCTAATATTTGTCTAAAATAGTTTGATATAGAGTCTTCTAATTCTGAAAATCCATAGAGATGTGCTAATCTAAGAATATCCAATATCACCTAAGAACAATAATAATTAACTGAATGGTACAATTTTAATTCAAATTCAAATTCAAATTAATTACAATTAAGTTAAAATTAATACCTCTTTACGTTGATTTGTAAGAGATATTTGTCCTGTATATATGTATTCTAGTACACCTTTAAATCCATCCAGATTAGCATCTTTTAACTTAATTTCACATTGAGTAGATTCTTTTGAATCTCCAAATAGAAGAGCTCTGAAGTATTGGCTACGTGCAGCCAAAATAATTTTGTGGCTATTGAATCTTTGTCCATTAACAATTAAAGTCACATCTGAATAATCATTAGAAAAGTAAAGAGCACCAATATTATCAGAAAAAGTACTAATGTGATTTATGTCACCAACTACATGAGAACTATAAGAACTCATCTTCTTAGATTCTGATCTTTAAAGTATAAAACTGTTTGTAATTCTTTTTTAGTTAAACATTTTTTTTTTTAACTTTTTCTTATACATAAATACATTTTGTTAACACAAAGTAACACCAATAACATAATACGTCAATAATTATAACGACTAAAACTAGGACTTAAACTAGAGAGCAGAGCTCGTCATTTAACTTAGATTTGGAACGATCCAAAAAGTGAAAAGCGGCGCCAAAAATTAAAATCATTTCTGACCATGTAAAGGTCAGCATACTAAATTTTTTTCTATAAATATTAAAAATAAAGTACAAGACATTTTCATTATTTAAATATTTTTCACGCAATTAAGATCTGAGTGCGTTAGCACTTCTCGAGCACCGATTCTTAACCCTAGAATTGGAGTTGAAAAATATGTAGACTTTCCCAACATATTTTTGTCATCCCTAGATCT